TCACAAAATCAGACATAGGCAATTAAATGAGCGTCTTTATTGCTATCTGTTGCCTCGTCAAGCTGAATCGAAAACAATTTGTCACACAACTTTTCAAGAAGCTGATGCTGTACATCTTCGGCTATATCACCAATTCGGCAGACAACAGTATAATTTGAAAGAGGTATGAATTGTAATTCTTTGGCAAAATTATCTCTAAACATAGTTTCTACAATTTCCATCGCAACTGGCAGAATACGGTCTTCACCAATGGTGTGAGGCCTTTTATATCTGGCTATTTTATATGATAGTTTGTAAGAGGCAAGTAAAACTTTTTTTTTTTTTAACAAAGTTTTTTTGCAGAATGATATTTGCTCTTCATATATATGACTAATTTTAATTCAAAGAATTCTCGGGGCTTGTTAACGTACTCACTATGAAGTGTTTCCAAATGGCGTCTAAGTTTATTAGGTTTCATGCTGGCTGCTGCCAAAATTTTTAAACAAATGACGCAAAAGAAAGGTAGGGGGGCGCCATAAAAATTGTTATTGAAAATTGGGGCCCGAATACTGAAACGTTGAGAAACGGTGCATTAGAACTAACATTAGACCTAGAACTAGAAACATTTTTATTTAGCCGGGCGTCTCTTAAGAGGGCTAAACCTCAATGATTCTAGTTCTTGGTCTAGCGTTGCATAACAATTAAAACTAGAACTAACACTAGACCTAGAACAAGAAACATTCGGGTTTAGCCGTGCGTCCTTAGACGCACGGCTAAACCCGAAGCTTTCTAGTTCTAGGTCTAGTGTTAGTTCTAGTTTTACACTATCACTAGATCTAACACAAGACCTAGAACTAGAATCAGTCGGGTTTAGCCGTCTTGAGAGACGTGCGGCTAAACCCGATTGATTCTAGTTCTTGGTCTAGTGATAGTTCTAGTTTTAATTGTTATAGCGCTACATTGTGGTGTATTTTTATTGAACGACAAGTAGAACTAATACTAGACCTAGAACTAGAAACTTTATTAAACTAAATTTATTAAAAAAAATTTATGATTTTATTCGATAATCAATATCATATCAACCCACAACCGATCATCTCATTGCTGCGCCTCGGCTCTAATTAAAATGAGAAATTTATATTTGATCCGATTAAGTCGAGACTCTACAATTAATATCAATACGAAACTGATCATCACATTACTGTGGCTCAACTTTAATTGAAGTGGGAAATATATGATTTTATCTGCTAGGGATAATGCTTTCTGTTCTTTCTCACTTACTCCATCCTTAAATACCTATGTGGAAGTATTTACTGTTGAAACTATAAAGAAAAGCTAAATGTACTAATTAAATAGTAATTAGAACTTTCTAGTATAAAAATTAAAATCATATTGATTTTATCAATGTGACATCTTTTTTGAAATGATTTAAATAAATGTTGTAGGAAAATGAGATTAAAATGAAAGGGAAAAAAGATTTTCTGGATGTGATGCTGCTTCTATTTTGAGAATGTAAAGATGGAAGTTTTGTTTGTTTTTCAAGTAGTATATTTTTACTGATTAACGCCCCAAACTGCAACAGACCGGTTCTAATTATACATCATTTTGATGACGCCCCGCTGCACGGTTAGTGCTCTGTCATTTCCTTTATTTATACATGTTTCATCAAACAATGCTCTACCAGCTTATTTTCGTTGAATCTATTTGTGATTCAAAAAAATTTTTTTAATGCGTAAAAACCACAAAAAATGATCAATAATAAACGTGGAAGTGTGATTTTAATGTATTCTAGTAGTGGTGCTTAAGCAACCTTTATAAAAGAGCATCTACTGTTCTACATTAAATCTAGGTCACAAGGCATATTACATTTATTTTCGGTTTACGGTTGTGGTATTTTAATAGGAAAAATTTCATGTAGAATAACGTAACTTTGATGTTTTTTTTTTTTAAATATTGATAGCGATTGACAATTTTCTCTTTCTTTTTAGGACATGGTAAAACACATAGAGATGCAGCAAGTGTTCAAGCAACTCATCCAATTCCTGCGGCGTGTGGATTGTACTATTTTGAAGTGAAAATTGTTAGTAAGGGACGTGATGGTTATATGGGTATCGGATTATCTGCACAAGGTGTCAATATGAATAGATTGCCTGGTTTGTAATTTTAACGTTTTGGGTAATTTTTTAGAATTAATTTAAATTAATTAAATGCTAGGTTGGGATAAGCAGTCATATGGTTATCATGGTGATGATGGCCATACGTTCTGCTCATCTGGTACAGGGCAACCCTATGGACCAACATTTACAACGGGCGATGTAATCGGATGTGGTGTTAATCTTATAGAAAACACATGTTTTTACACTAAAAACGGCCATCACCTCGGCACAGCCTTTACAGATCTACCTGTAAGTATGATTCATTTAAAATAAAATAAATGGATTTCTTGGAGCAATGATGATGAAGAGGGATTATGATTTTGTTTGGTTAGTTTAAGATCACATGAATTTAAAACGTTTATTATTCGAAATGTTTCAGTTGTTATTAACTTTTACCTTGAAAATTTACTTGCATTAGCCAAATTTATATCCAACTGTCGGACTACAAACGCCGGGGGAAGTGGTCGATGCCAATTTTGGACAGGAACCGTTTGTTTTCGATATCGAGGACATGATCAAGGAATTAAGGGCTAGTACACGACTTTCTATACAGGATTTTCCGGTACCCGAAGGACAAGGCGAATGGCAAGCACTTTTAAACAAGTTAGTTTGTATTTTTATTCTCATATATATTTCTTATATACAGTGTGTCCGTAAACTAACGGATATAGGCGATAAAATCATTATAAACGATTTATGGAAAAATCCTTGAAACGGGCTTAAAGTTTTAAATTTTTTGGTGTAGATTTTAAATTTTTTCCGCCATTTTTAAACGAGTTATGACGTCATCGATATTTTTTTCTTGTTACGGAATATGAAAGAGGGTGTTTTTCTGAATCTAGTACAGTCAATATTAATATTCGCTTAATTAGGACTTCGAATTAGTAGATTACGGACTTAGAGGAAGAGGAACTACTACAAATAGTAAAAGACCTGAAAAAAACGAGTACACAAAACCAGGGATTCACTAACCACAATTACAGAGTCTGACCCCTACTGCACCAGACAAGGGTTATCAAACTTCCATATCACAGAATAACAAAATCACAAAAAAATTATTACTATATATCTATAAAGTTATACAATGAATTATCACTCTATTTCAAAACATTGAATATGAAGAATTTTAAGAGACAGGTCAAGAATATGCTCTTAGAAAACTATATAGACAAATATTTTGCAGCAATGAAGATAAACTAATAAATGCCTGTTTCTTTATTGTCATTATTATTACGACTTTTATTTGACGAGAATATTGTACATTTTGATGCATATTCAATAAACTTATTATTATTGGTTACATAAGAAAATTTTCGAGAATAATTACTTTAAAGTTTAACTACATCAAATTTGTTGACATGATAAAAATAGCAGTAGCCATGAGTAACTATGGTAACCAATTATTTCCATTGCATTGAAATGTTGCATTTCATTCCTTAATGCAACATTTCTTGATCGAAAACTGCTTAGCTCATTAGTATGGTAAGCCTAGCTGTGATTAAATTTACAAAGCATGGACATCTTCGAGATTTCTCGAAATCTGCCCGACCAAATGTTTCAGGGGAGGTTCAACAAAACGTGGTTTTGGCTGTGCTAGAAAGCCCCTATGTTACTGTCAGGGGTGTTATGTCAAATTTGGACATTAGGAAATCAATGGTTCATAAAATTTTAAAAACTGCCACATTTTTTCCCTATAAAGTAAACCTCATTCACGAGCTTTTTTCAACAACAATTTTGTTACGATGACGAAGACTTTGCCAAAAACATATTTTTTCCGACGAGGGAACATTCACATTGAGTGGACAAGTAAATAGACAAAATTGGGCTACCCAAAATCCACATTGGGCAAGAAAGTTGCACATCCAATATCCGCAAAAGATCAATATGTGGAGCGACATCGTACGGGATCCTGAGTTCTTACTTTTTGAGGAAACCTTAACTGGAGGGAAATGTTTAGATTTTTTCAAAACGATATCATGAAGTTATCCCACCTGAATTCCAATGGTAGTTATTCTAACAGGATGGTGTGCCACCACACTTCAACAAGCTTTAATCTACACCAAAAAATTGCAAAAAATTTCAATCTTTAGACCCGTTTCAGGGATTTTTCCATAAACCGTTTATAATGATTTTATCGCCTATATCCGTTACTTTGCGGACAGACTGTATACTGTGCCCGCCAAAAAATCAGCAACACCCAAGGTCTATAGAACATAAGGTTACCCAATACCAATTCTCCTCCTATGAGAGGCAAGGTGGGTCAGTGACGTAGCTGGTTCTATGAACAACACAACACGATGCGAGGTTTAAATATTTTATAAAGACTGTACCACAGTATAGGCACGTATAGGCTATCTTTTATTCTGACTGTATCGAACCAGTGACGTCAATCTGCGGGGTAATAATCGATACTACAGAGGCATAGGGAATGAGGTAACCTTATATTCTTGCATTTACATTTCTGAAATTATGTTTATGTTAGAGGTTCATACCGACCTTTCGATCTAAAGTGTTTTCAAGATGGTGGCCACTTCCGGTCCCCCGGAAGTAGTCCACAACTTCGTTATTTTAAATGGAATGCTATAGTTTTTATTACACCTTTTAATTACCGTATTTTCTCGAATCTTATCCGCACTCGAATCTAATCCGCACCCCGATTTTAAAAAAGCATAGTGGTAAAAAAATTTAGTTTGCGAATGTAATCCGCATCTTTCTTTGAGCAATTCGAGAACACCAAAACGATGCGATGTTTGTTGTTAATCATAAATATATATTTTTCCGTTGACTGACGCTGATGCACCTAAAGAAACCGACGAGTTTTTATTAGACTAGACTTAAATTTACCAAGCTAGAAAAAATTTGAAAATAAATATAATTTTAAAAATAAATAGTAATGCTCGAACGTGGTGTGTGCTTAATTATACAACAATTAACAGCGTAATTATGGAAAAAAAGTAGCAAAAATCGAAGATGTCCTTCTATACAGCGAAGTTTAAAGAGATGTTATTAAGTTAGCATTAAAAGAAGGAAATCGAAAAGCTGGTACAATTTTTGCCGTTAATGAGAGTAACGTTGCGGCTGTTGCGCAAAGACAAGGCAGCTATTGCAGAATGTGAGGCATCTTGCAAAAAATTTCATGAAATTGACGAGGCAGTTTTCTGGTTTTTTCAAGAAAAACGAAAGCAAAGGTTGGACTGTGAGATTTATGCGCCTAATGGGGTTATCGTTGAGGCGCAGAACTACAATTTCCCAAAAGCTTCTAATGATTTTCAAGAAAATTTCAATTTGTCTCAAACTGTGAATGCCGATGAAATGGCAGTATATCTGGATATGCCTCCCAATTACACCCTGGAAAGAAGAGGTGTGAGGGAAATTTCTTTATATACGAGTGATTGCGAAAAATTGCGCATAACATTGATGCTAGCAGTAACAAGAGATAAAAATTGCTGTCATTATTAATATTGAGAAAAAACCATTCTGAAATCCGAAAGACTTCCAGAATGACGTCTTCCTGATGATGGAATGGTTAAGACAAGTATGGAGTCGTAGACCAGGAGGATTATTAAATAAGGATATTAATTAATCATTGACTGATTAATAAGGTGCAATAAAAGCTATAGCATCCGTTTAAAATAACGAAGTTGAGGTCTACTTCCGGGGGACCGGAAGTGGCCACCATCTTGAAGATTAGAGAGATATCTTGAGATACTTTAGATCGAAGGATCGGTATGAACCTCCCATATAAGGTAAATTTCAGAAACGTTGTTGCAATGGTACAGAAATAAAATGGGTGTTGCTGCCTTTTTGGCGGACACTGTATACAGGGTGTCTCAGCGAGACCGGTCATTAGACGTTTCTGAGGTTCTGGCAAAAATAAAAATTTGAGAATTCAGACTTAAGTATTATCAATTACGATCTCTTCGTCTAAAATATTTTCAGATTTCTTGCACTTCCGGTTATACCGGAAGTCGCCACCAACTTTATTTTTTTAAATGGAACACCCTGTATATTTTTACATATTTGGATTTGTCTGTTTTCAAGGTTTATAAATAACTTTACTTTTTGCAATTTGATTCGGTCGTTCTCAGGTTATTCGAATTTTTCTAGAAAAATCTGCTCCAGCAGACATTTGTTCAAAAAATCAAAAAACACTCAATTTTTGGGTTATCAATTTAGGATTGAGAACATGCTTAAGTAACATGATGGAGTATGTTTTGGTGCCGAGAACTGCGGTCTAGAATGTTTGATCACTTTACTATGGCACGTTAACTTTTCAAAATTTGGAAGTACCATAACTTCAGTTTTTTAAATGGCACTCCCCATATTTTATTTTTTAGTCGTCTTCGGTGTCTCATTCTACATCTTTTGTATCCCATATGGCCCATACCTAATATTAATAGTTTGGGAGATAATTAGGGTTTTTTGAAAAATGCACACATATATGGATATTTAGCCTAGTGTGCAATACAGAATGATCTGATATTAACTTAATTGTGTGTGAAGGGGTGACTTAAAGGTTTTGATAAAATGAAAGGTATTGTTGCCATGACATTTGCGCTCCGCAAACGATTGACTGGATAGTTGCTGTAGTCTTAAATTTCAACATGGACGCTACTGACATCAGATGTGTTTGTGCGTTGATTATCAAAAGAAAAAAGAAAAACCGACATTTTGGGTTCATCCCTTGATCAGTCAACGACTATTTAAAGGTCAAATTTATATGAATCAGAAAGGAGCACCCTATCAAATTCTTCAATTGCTTTACAAAGAGTCATATGAGTTTTAACATCTTACTGGCTTTAATGTAACACCCATCACCACTTAATGATGGGGATCGTGCAAATGGTGATGCATCTTGAGTTGATGGACAGGCAAAAGAGGTGCGTGGTTGAGGTTGGTACACTAGCAGCTCTAGGAGTCCTGATGCAAAGTTAGTAAAGTAGTGCCTCAGCGGTGCAGACTCAGTAATGTTTTAGTCGCCGTGATTAAAAAGCTCTGCCTCAGTTTACTTCAATATCTTTCCTTTTCTTTTTAATGTATAATTTATTAAGTAAGTGAAAGAAAGCTGCATATTGTACGACGTTCTGAAGTAGTTTGGAAATGCGTTAACTAAATGAATATTGTAAGGTTGACTAACTTGATATAATCAGGAATACGTCTATTGCACGTGACAAATATCTGACGATGTCATAAAATTAACCAGTTAACGCTATTTTTATGTTCTACGCAATTTTGAAACAATGTTTTGATGTTAAGAATGGTAAAATAGTGGTCAAATTTGTTGATATATAGAAAATAGTATTTTTTGTTGACCGGTCTCGCTGAGACACCTGTATATATTATATTTCTTCGTAATTTAGTAATATTTCTTAATTTTCTTTTAATTTAGAATGGTCTCAACATACTTAGTACATCACGGATACTCAAATACAGCGGAAGCATTCGCTCATATAACAGGACAAA